CATTTGTACTGAAGAATAGGATGTTTATCTTCCCAAATACACAGGCGACAAGAGTTTTGTTTATATGTTGTTTATGTGAGTCCCTGATGTGAGCTATAACTAACAGTGAAGTATTGTGCTGTCACCATAGTGTAAAAATGTTTATTCATTGCTGACTGTGTGGAGCTGATCACGCATGCTAGTAAAGCTCCCTTATCAGCTTTAGTGAACAGCATGATTCCTGAGGCCTCAAATTTCTGAGTGACAAGATAAATAAATAACATTTAAAATAAAACAAACAAATAGCATGCTGCAGTGTTATGGCTTTCCCTGTCATTACACACAAGTATTGACACAAACAAAATATCAGACTCATCAAGTCCATAAAAGCCTACAACCTCACATGCAAAACACTGGTTCTACCATTACACGGCATACTGTAACATTCCATGTCTTAAAATGCCTCCCTCTTGTATTCTGCTAAATTGTGATTCAAGTCATTTTTATTTAGTCTTATTACTTTTACTGGAGATGAGAAAAAAAAACCTTTTTCTGGAGATGAAAGGCCTTATTAGCTTGTAGGGAGTACAGCTGCACAGGGAATGTAAAGATTCAAACCAAAAACAACAACGTAACTGCATAATCACATTCATAACACAAACACCAGCCTTCATCCAAATTTGATTAATGATCTAAAAGATTTATATAGTTTGTCAAAAACTCAAGTTCTTCCATTTCTTCTAATATTATGTGAACACAGCAGAAATCATATTTAAAGGCTCTAAGATACAAGACGTATTATTATGAAAATTTTGAACATTTGTCACTGTAATGAGACTAGTACTGACTAGGTGATTAGTCAGTTAACCCAAAATTGGTCACCAGACAATTCTGATAATGTATTAATTGTTGAAGCCATTTATCAAGCATAAATATGTTGTTTTCCAGTTTCTCCAAAGGCAGGATATGTTAATTTAATTTATTTTACGTCATTATAAATTGAATACCTTTGGGTTTTGGACTACTGGTCAGGCAAAACATCAATCTGAAAATGGCACCTTGGGCTCTGGGAAATTTGGATGGCTATTAGTCATGTTATAGATTAACTAATTAATCAATCTATCCAAATATAATAACCACAAGATTAATTAATGAAAATAATCATTAGCTGGAGCCCTAAATAAGACTGTAGTGTTACCTGCAAACTCATAGCATAGTATATGCTTGTAGTAAATTAAATGACAAATTTATAAATTTTAACTGAAACTGATTGAGTTGATGGGGAAAATAAAATCCTGAAAATAACGTTTGTGTAGAAAATACAAATTATTATCCAGTATAACTTTGTAGACAGTAAGGCAGCAGGACCTGCAGAGACACAGAACGTGTAGCCCCACATAGGTTTCTGTTCTGACAAAGCCCACCTGTGAGAGCTGGTCAAGCTCAAGATTGCAGGCAACATAAGAGGAGACAGGTGCAAATTACATTAAGAACTCAGCAAAGACAAAGGGGGCCAAGAATAGACTTATGTACTCTCAGCTGACCAAATAAGGGGGCATGGAGGTGGTCATTACCTTTCATTAGGGTGGTATAACCCTGGTGACAATACATAATGCGATGCTATGTCCTGATACACACTGATAAGATCAGAAACAGTTTTTCTCTCTCTCTCCTCTTCTCTAGCTATTACCGTTGACTTCGATCGCCATCCCGTATCCTTCAACCCTCAGTCCACTAAATGACACGAATGACAAGAACTAGGCCTGAGATTAATGACGGCAATAGGCTGACCAACCTATACAGACTGAGGAATGTGTTGGGGCCTTTTACACTGAAACAGTATTTGCCCTCTTAATTTTGATGAGCTATGCAACCTTGGAGCTGAGACATGTATAAGGCACATATACTGTAAGACTGAATGCATACAGTATATATTATTCAAATAAATTTCAAGAGAAATATTCAAATATTTTCAGTATAAGTAAGATTAAGCTTTGAAAGTAGACCTGGCAGTGAGAATCATTTATGAATGAAATCCTTAAACACAACAAGTATCCTGAGTTAAATAGGGGAAATAAGTGTTCCTGGGCAATATGCTATCTATTTTATTTAAACAAAAATTGGGGAAAACTGATTGTAGGTGTTTATGATGCACCTGGGGTGGCTGCAGCAGTTGGGAGGCTCAACTAATTTATTGATGGTGGTGACCAGGTCGGAAGGAACAAAGGAGTCAAGGTCAGACTCCAAGATTTCCAGAAGGTCTAGCTGGGCAACATGGTGATAACGATTGTACTCAGAAAAGAACAGATGGTGATAATTAGGCTAAAAACAAACAAACAAAAAGAGAATAGGAAGCAATTCAGCAAGAGGCTGCCATATAAACAGCTGGAGAACAAACTCACACTCATTTACAGGTTGACCTCTGTGAGAAAAGAGGCCCATGGGAGTGCTTTTACAGTATGTCTATGTACACATACACGCACACACATTCCCAACAGGACTGCAACAGCCTGGGAATAAAAGTGACTCCATTGCCAAAACACAGAATTTAATAAATCCCTCAGATAGTTCCTGGAATTAATTTGAGAGCAAGAGATAATGTTACCACCTGTTTTATTTAAGTAGTCTCTTTGATATTTCCAGATGGTCCTCCACCACTTTCTCTTCCATGTCTGGTGAGTGGGACAGCATCGGACCTGCAGCAGAGCCGGGTGGTGTCTTTCACCCCCCCACACCAGAGGGACCGGAGGCCTGGATATTACAGAAGAATGCATCCCAAGACTAAAACACAGCAAAGCAGATCCAACAGAGGCAAACAAGTCCTGCTGCACCTATTTCTTCACAAAGTCTTGTGAGACTGCGGGTGCAAGTACAACAGGTAGCAGTGAAAGTGATACAGATCCCAGAGCAGCAGCCACGGCTTAGTTCGCCCCCTTTTATCAGGTGGTGCTTCTTCACAATGAGCAGCCTGCTACACCCAAAAGAGCAATTTGTCCAAACACACCAGCTCAGGGACACAGAAAAAGGAAAACAATCATATTTGCAGTTATTTCTTATGTGACACACACAAATCAGGAATCAGTTCATTATTTTCTTGGTTGTTTACAACAGCAATCAGTTTTATAAAACAGAATACTTACTTTAATCCTGTCAGTTCAAATCTATGACCCCCTGCACGCTCATTTGTCCCCTCCACATTACATCACATACGTCTTTCTTCTCAGTGTTACTTATATAAGTCAATTAAACATCTATGAAGGTTGAACACCAGTCACTTGAGCAAGCAGTTTCAGTCTGATGGGCTTCCACATCCCTCCCTCCATCCATCCTCTTCCCTGCCTACTCCCTGTCCAAAGTTCCTCCTCATCTAGATTTTCATCATTTATACTTGCTGGCACAAAGGAACAGTATTATCAATCATGACAAACATAACTGAAAAAAGGGGCGAACGAAGCAGGAACAAGTTGCAAGAGGATCTACCAGGCAGAATAGTGTAGGTTCAAATATCAGAACGTGACATTATTCACAACATCACTGTGTGGTTTTTCAGTGGGTAGCCTTAATGCAAACTGGCATGCAATGCAGTTTATCTTTTCAATAGCTCCAGAACTCTGTACTTACATACATCACTACATAAACAAGTGGTTTCACCTACACCTGCTTTCACTCCAAAAAACTCACAATAATGCTCAGTGCTCGCCGCTTGAGAGTTCTTCCTTTTTCATAATTTGTATTTGTGTTTGCTGCAGCTCTCCTGCTGACCTAGAGAATGCTGGGTCAGGCAATTATGGACTGAAATGCCATTTCGTTGTAGTGATTTTACCACCTGACAGAGATGGAGTGAGGATCAGTTGCTTTCTGGCATTTTATTAATAGTGTTCATCAGTGAAAAGACCTGTGCTGCTGGGTAACATTACAGGTTTGGTGTTAAATTATGTTCTTTAAGAATAATTACTTCACTCTATGGAACAAAACTGGACCAGCTATTCAGTGTTTAAAATATTGTTTGAGTATGGGGTAATTAAACAAGTAAATATTCCCAAACCTGCAAGTTCTGGTAACATATAAATTGATTTTGACATATGAAAAAGGTAAAAACCCTAAATACTTCGTGATCATTACTGACAATGGTTATTCCTTTGTAGGATTTGCCTGGCTCATGAAGTCAGTGTTTAGTGTCCAAATAAAACTAATTTAATCCAGGAGGCATCCTAATTAAAGTTCATGTCCAGGTGAGGCATGCTTACAGCAGCCATCAACAGTTAGGTCTGCCAAACAAACCCGACTTTGGACATTACTCTGCAGCTCATTTGGCCAACATCAGCCTCCGTACAAAGAGCAGGAGAAGCAGATAATTTGTAATCCAATTGCCCAAGCCAAGCCTACACAGCATTTATGGACGTCCACGTCATGAGATTATTTAGGAACCCTAATTCATCTAATTAAGCATGTTTGAAGGCGAAATTAAATTTGTTCGAAAGCCCTTGGTACACGTGCTATCGGCAAATCTATTGCATTTTAAAAGATTAAATAATGCATGGTTTCCTGACATTAAGTGATAAAACCGTGGTGCCAAGACACAGTTACAAACATATGCATTAAACTGAAATCAATTCTTTATGCTGAAGGAAAGGGTCTGTAATAAAATGTATGAATAATTAAATTACCCTTATGTAAAGAAACATACATACTGAGTATGCTGTGGATAGTTTTTTTAATCAACATTAAAATATTTTAACTAAAGTAGGGCTGTGCCATCTATAAATTAAACAAATGTTCTTAAAATACTCAGTCTGTAAACCTGTAAAAACCTAAAGTCTCTCCGCTTAAAAAGGTTATATTTACAACCTTTATTCTATTCATCAGATCACTGGATCCCACCATCAATCAAAAAAGACCAGAAATAACCACATCCCCAAAAGTAAACGTTCATAAAAACCAGAGGCTGTATCTACATGTAAAAGAAGCATAATGTTTATATACAGTCCCCCCGACCATAAATGACACTGACTATAATAATCTTGTTTCATCTGAGATGACTCTCATACTAGTGATCATTTTATTGACTGCGTTGACTCATATTAAAAAATAAGCCTTAAGGACAATGTGTGTTAAACTTCGACATCCTAGAGGATATGAAAGAGCAGCATATATCTGTAAAATATTTGATAAATAAATGTTTCCCATGCATAGACTACAGTATGGCATCTCTTCACCTCTCTGCATTCAAGAACCTCTCCCCAGCCTGGACATGGTAAATAGAGAGGACAAGTCAATCCAAAAAAGTAGCAAACACAATATAAGACATGACAAATGCCATGTCATGGATTATCAATAGTGAAATGTCCACAACCATGCATATGATGAATATTTGGCCAAATTTGTAATTAATATGTAAAAACAAAGAATTCCACATCACATTTAGACTATAGAAAGGCCTAACAGCAACCAGGATTTACTATTGCTATAAGTCTCTGAAACATTTCACCACATTTGGTGATGTACTATGAGGCTCCTATAATACCACCAGCATGAAAGGCAAAACTGTGTTTTGGTAGTTTGTGTGCTGGCATCACAAACCTAAAGGGAGTGTGTGAGAGAAAAGGGTGGTTGTAAGCACGAGACTGACAGAAAATCGGGTTTGTGAACCTGGAGTCTCTCTTACACAAAGAGACAGGGGAAGGGACGTTAAGTTGCAGCTCCCCCAGTGTTAATGAGAGTCTGATGTTATAGGAGACATCCCAGAATCCTTGGCAGAGTCCAGGACATTGGTGGGTGTTCGGGAAGAAAGCTTCTCATAGATGAAACTGTAGAGAGTGACATCAGGCCGAGTCGTGTGGCAATTCTTACACACCGCACTGGAGTACTGGTTTAAAAGGCCGTACAGCCGCCCTAGGAAGAAAAAGGAGGGTGGTAGAGAGAGAGGAAGACAGAGAGAGGTGGAGGGGTTAAGACCAGGAAGAAATATGGAGGGAGATAAAACAGGATTTGAGAGAAATAGACAAAAGGGACAAAAGTGGTGAGAGGCAAAGAACAACCACGTGAGACCAAAACTGAAACGAAGAAAAAAAAGAAAAAAAATGAAAGTATGTTTGGCCTCATTTATAATTCGAGTGCACATACACCCGCACACAAGCTGTGAGCTTTTTGTCTGTAGCTCCACTTTAGGAAATGGATGGCTAGAGGGGAAATTCTTTGAAAGGCTTCAATAAATGTCAGTGGAAGAAAAATGGAAAGAGGGGGATGGGAGAGGCTGGGGTCAGTTCAGCCAGTAATCCACTCTCTGGCTGAGACGGAATGGATGGGCTGAGGAGCAGAGATGGCCCATAAGGGGGAATAACTTAGCATAGAGATAGACTGCGTTCTGTTATGTATGCCTACTGTCCCTGTAATGACGCCAACAAAGACAACCTCTATGAGGTACAAGCTTCAAGAGCCCTGCAGTTTCAAACATGGCTGATATCATCACCATTCTAGTTCACTATGTAATCTACTGTATGAGATCAACAGAGGCATAGCTGAAAAGATAACTGTGTGACTGCAGCTTGCTCAGAAAATCCACCTCATGCAACACAAATATTAAATATATTAGGTTTCATGAGCGAGCCTTACCAACAGTGACTTGTTTCTCGGTGAGAAAAGCGTGCATTTCACAAACATCTCTCATGAGCTGCATATCTCCAAATGTGAAGTACGCCAAGTCTCTCCCCGCCTCTGCTGCAGCCATCAACTGGATCAATGCTGACAAAAAGGAGAAATCCATGCAACAGTAATATATTGTGTTAGTATCATTAGTATCTTTCAGTGTCTGAGTGAAATCATACCAATGTAAGTGATCACTGAAAATACGCTGAAGAAACTAATTAATTGGCCAATAAGCCAGAAGGTACAGCTCCTGGCAGAAAAGACCAGGAGTGACAGGCAATTTGTATCAGAACAGAAAATAATCCACCATTGGTAGCATAGCTTCATCAACTGCACTCAATTTTTTAGCCCTTGCAAATTAGGTCTTAAGCCTTTTAAATATTTAACAGAGTGGATATTGATAACAGATAAATGAACACAGAAAACAAACCATCATTTGCAAAAGGTCTGTAATCTTTACAACATAACAGTATTGTTGTGTAAGTACCACGTCTCAAATCAGCTCCGGGACTTCAATGTAAAATACAGCTACTGGCTTCTAAAAATACCAGCTATGTTAATTCGAGTGCTAATGGGCAGGGGTCCCCGGAAGCTAATATCATCCTCAGACTTTGTCAAGCCTAGTGGATGTATTCATAGCATGCTGCAGAGGAAATGAAAACCTTCAGGCCTACAAAAAATCAGGACACAAACATAGCAGTGTTATTCTAATCTTAGACATCCATTTGCATTCATAATTCAGGATATTTGTGTCAAGATTTGTTTATTTAGCACAGCTCAGCCTCCGTGACTCCAGGCATAGCACAACAGCTGCTTCTTTAGTAACCTGTTAATGGAATGTGTCAGACATTGACTAGAAAACTTGCAGCATGGTGTACTTGAGGAGGCAGTAAGGAGCACCTGCTTATAAAGAGTGATGTTGGGTGAAGCCCACAGAGATTAGTAGCCTGGATTTATGATGTCCCTCCCCTGTAATCAATCGTTCTTTGGAGGGAAAACATAAATATGTGTCAGCTGATCAATAAAGGGAGGGAAGGAATGGGTGAGTGACACCTTGGGAGAGCTACTAATTGAACAGAGGGGTTTGAGCAAGAACGGCATCTGTGACTGTGCCATACAGTCCACACTGCATGAATTCTGAACATCCTTCAGCAGGGACTTCAATGGCTGGGACATCCAGTACAATGCAACCCTGTCTGAGTTACTGACATTTACTTGCTGCAGTTTAACCATTTCATTTCTCATCTATGAAAACTGTTGATTTCTTCATACTTATAGCTACATGTACACAGACTCTTCCTTCCCCCTAACTGGATGCATGTTTATAATTATGTTAAATCATACCTTTGAGCCGTGTGTCTCCACCAAAAACTCCACAGCCCCAGTTGCCCGTGGCTACTGCAGAGAGGTGCTCTCTATTGGTGCCATTTCGGAAGAATCCACAGTACGCCTGGGATGAATGCGCATGGGGTGGGAACAAGTGAAGGTGAAAGAGGAAGAAAAAAAAAAAAACCAAAGATAAACTTTTACCAATATTTTCTATGATCTCTTTGCAAAATACACTAGATTTAAAAACTAACTAATGTGAGCTCTATATGGTGGTGGTGTTTTCAGCTCAGTGGGTTGCGTACAGGCTGGACATCAAAAAAACACAATTAACAACTTGTAAATGTAAGCCTCAGGCTGAACCATAAGCAATTAATATCTGTCACTTACTGGCAGTAACATCTTCTGAAAGCTACCAAGAACTGAAGCTGTATTTTATAGGTTTGCTGAGAATGTGTAATAAATAAAAAACTGTATTTTTTCCCATCACAGTAAAATATCACAGATTGCGCCACCTTGTTGAGTTCTCTGATGATCTTCTCTGGGAGAAACTGCTCTAAGAAGTTCCTGAACCTAAGAGCATCAATGGCCACAATCTCTGTGCATCGTCTCTGCCATTCATCCCTGGAAACAAGAGTAAAGCAATGAGTGGGACAGGACTGACAATCAGACCGCACCTTTACCCCATCCTCCTCTGTCTGAATGAATGATTTTGCATTTAAAATATCAAAACAAGAATCTTAAAATATTAAAACGCGCTACATGAGGAAAAATACCTTGGAGTCTCATCCTTGTAGCTGTGTTTCCATTTGAAACTCTCACTGTAACCCGAATATTTACTGTACTGTTCGGTGCCTGCAGAATGAGAAAGAAAGGCAAGAAAAAATGACATTACTCAGTATTCAGCAGTCAGAGCACACAGTGGGCCTAAATCCATTTCAGTACTTTATTTCCTAAATCAAATTTAGTATTTCTATGGTCCCCATGTGAGTACACAGTATCAGCTTGTATTGGATTGTCATAAATAAAGGCCACTGATTTAAGAAGTAATCCACTTTGGGGTTTGAAATGAAAAGCTTGCAGCCATAATTAAAAGAACTGGGTAGAACAGAAGAAGCTCACCTTGGCCACATTTACAAAACGCTTGCAAGACATAAAACAGTGCATCATTCTGTAAGTTACAGTTTAACACATCTCTGTTTCCAATAGCCATTTCATAACTTATACTGGTATGTGCTCAGGGTTAGAGCTCCGAAGAATTTATCATTCGTCATTACAAATGCAGCTGTGCTCGATTCTGAAAACGATGCCTATAAAGGCTCTCTACATTATGCATTAGGTGTGAAGTAGTTACACAGTACATCAATGAAGAGCAGGAGTTAAATGTGAATAACATAACCATTGAGTTTCTACTGTTTGCACTAGCAGAGTTAAGTGTGTTACTAGCAGAACAGGGAAGATGGGCAGTTAAGTTTATAATAACCAGAAACATGTCTGTGCAGATTCTCAGTCATCCAGGTCATAGTAAACTGAAAAAACTTAGGAAAAAAATCAACTGGACTTAGATTTCTTGGTCGAAGACATTTCACCTCTCATCCAAAAGGCTTCATCAGTTCTGTCAGAACTGAAATCTAAGTTTTTTCAATAACCAGAAACAATCACAAGTATTTCAAAAGCAATGTTAAATGCCATTCTTTAAAAGTACAGGAATGAAATGCTGTTTTAACTGTCTCACAGCTGATATGAATCTATTTCAAGCAGGTAGTATGGACTGTCACAAGGCACAGTCTACCAACACTGTGACTGAAAGACAAATCTGAATTCTAAGAGTGAAAGTTTTAATGACAGTACAACTGGACAAATTAATCACCAGAATCAAAATCAGCTTTACTGGCCAAATATGTTGAACACATGAGGAATTTGACTCCCCTACAGAGGCTCTCAATACAAAAAAATTATGTGCATTCAAATAGGAAGAAAAAAGAAACAAAAACAGTCGATTAATAAATATATACATATATACAATGTGAAGAATAGCTTTCAGATACAGTGTATAGAGTGGTTATATTGACAGTTATTGCACTGGGGCTGTTTGCTCTATCTGTTATACAGACAGACATGGATTAACTGTTCATAAGAGTGATGGTACAGGGAAAGAAACTGTTCTTGTGTCTGGTTGTTTCTACATAAAGCAAAGCCTTGGCTAAATGAACAAAAAAACCCATTTATTTTACACATCTTGTGCCACCACGAGTCCAGACAGTCAAATGAAGTACTTTCTACAGCACTAGCAACTCCTAATGTCAAAGAACTGACTACCTATGTCAGTTTTTACGTCAGCAGGGCCCCACCTTCATCTTGATCCTATTTATCCTGGCAACTGCCCATGACAGCATCCTGGCTTACAAGCTTCCATCACTAGATTATATCGTGGACATCTACCTTCCGATCTGAAAAAACCTATAGTACCGACAAAAACTGATGTGACATCTATGTTAGGACACCTCTAAAGAGAAGTAAATATAACTAGAGAGGAGAAAAAAACAAAGAGAGACCAAAATAAAGAGCCTAGATGCAGCGACAACACTTAGAGAGGAAACACTGCAAGCATGCAAGAAATATTCTGAAGGTTTTAATGAATCTGTGGCTAACTGGCCCATTCCATTAGTGGAGCAATGACCTTACTTTGGCTATAAATTCCTTTCTGTCTAAATGTAATAAAGTTAAGTGGAGAGAAGGAGGAGGGAAAGAAGGAGGGAGGCAGAACAATGGGAGGTGACTAACCACTGAAGGTGACTTGGAAGAAATGGGAGATTTAAAGAAAACAACTCAGCACCTTGCAAACCAGACAACGCTTTGTTCACCAACAGGAAGGTACTAAATGAGACAAAATCCAATTTTTACACTGACTGTGTTTGGTGGTATTACCAATGTGGGTATATTGGCCATTCCTTTCACTACTCTGCTGTTCACAACCAATCAATGTACAGTGCTAAATGCAGTTTAAGCCCAGAGGAGACCATACAAACTCCTCATCTCTTCAAATTCTGTTTTAACTTTTGTCTTTCTTGTTAGGTACAGGTTCAAAAGAGACTCCACAGACAGAATGTGTGAAGTTCAGACATTACGAACACTATTTATATTTGAGTTTCTGTTAGCACAAAGCTAGGTTTTTACACATGCCCTCATGTCAAGAGGATGGTTTTATCATAGAGGATAATGATGTTTCCTGTGTCATCAAAGGCTCACTTTATGTTCAGTGAAACAGAACCACCAAAACAGGACAAGAGGAAGTTAAATACAGTATTTGTTTTAAGATGCTAACTAAATAAAGTGGTGCTAAAATAAATATGATAGGCTACCAATAGTAAATGTCTCCATGATCTTAATCAGTGTTTGTTTCTTACTGTGACCAGTGGTGGGTGAGGTACAGCTGAGACACGGGTAAAGGGTAGGATGGTCAGAGGAGGAGGGAGGCAAATGACAGGACTGTACAGTACACTTAAGTTGACCAAAGCAGAGTGATTTGGAGGTTGTAAAATATAGATCAATTCTGTGCTGCAGATGAAGTGAATAAAGAGAAACCATAAAGGAAGAAGATACAGACAGACCCCAATGAAAGATGGATACCTGAAATACTGAGCTCAAGATGAAACAAAGTAAAAGTTACAAGTGTTTGAGGGGCCCAGTAATTAATGTCCTACAAAGCAGAGCCTGAAGGCTGGAAACTGTGTGTATATTTGTGTGTGGCTATATACCCGTGATGATGAGGCATTCATTGTAGTCCAAAGCTTCAGTGAAGAGGCGAGAGACAATGAGTTCAGGGTTGATCAGGAATCTGATTTCTTCCTGGACTAATCCATGTCCTGTCACTCCTCCACCGACAAACATATTCGCAAAGTCCACCTAGTGAAAGTAAAGAAAATATACAGAGGAGTAAACCAAAATGGCGTAATCTTTCAGGTCTCCTCTTAAAAGCTTTTATCTTCCCTCTCAGACATTCTTAAATTGTCACAGTGGAAATAAGAGCCAGGTGGCAAACTCATTTTGTGCCTATTCACAACAAAAACCTATGTTCATTAAACAATGTTAATAAAGTATATTGCCCTTTGTCCTGCTCATTCAGTGCAGTTGAACTGTAAGGTTTAGCTACTGCCACTCGCATTATTTGAACAAATGACTCCATTAGTGTGTCCTCATTACCTGTCAACCATTGTGGTCATTTGATTTAGATCAATGTCTAAGGATCATACCACTGCTTCCTGCTTGGAAATAATCTTGTCAAAAAAAATGAGCAAAACACCACCCATGAAATATAAAGAGGTACTGTAGTTCAAATACAAATAAAATCTATAATGAAATAGTTAGCAGTAGATTAGTGCAAAATCTGCTTAGATGTGTGCAAACATTTTCCATTTTCATATACAGAATACACCAAAAAAAAAACCTTCATCTGACCTGGATAAGGTAACAATGATAATGAAATAAGTTGATCCCTAATAAAAACCATACTCTGAAAAATGTTGGTTTTAAAGTCTTTAATCCTGATGATCTGGTGAAATCTGTGACTTTTCCTCATGTGCCATCATGAAGATAGATTTTGGTGGAGTGGAGTGTTTTACATCTATTGGATGAACTAGCATTAAACTGCCTCACAGAGATGCTAGCATGGCTGTAGACACCAAGTATTGATAGCTAATGTCATAACAAATAAGCTAAAATGAATGATGAGATCACTGATGAACTATAGATGTTGTGGTTATTTTTGGGACTTGTGTTGCAATGTAGAAAATATTGTGATGATAATCTTGAGCTTCATGCCATGTAAGCCCGCTCTTTGTTTTTGCAGAATGGATAAAAGGACAGCCCATTCAATCACAATGCTGACATTTAAACAACCTGTCATGGGTGAGTGTTCTGCTCACTGGCCCACAGCTACGTCAGTGTGACAGTGAGAGTGTTTATTTGTGCATGTGTATGTTTTCTAACCTGTCGCGCAACTCCTCACCTCCTTCAGTGGTTCACCCCTAACTTCACCCCCCTCACCTTTCAATCTCACCTCCTGACAGAATGACAGCCCACTCTGCCTTATCGAAACTTGACTCACAGCCAGCACCCAGCCTGCTGAGGTAGCCATCAATCCACCTGCAGGGCTCCTGGCCCATTGGGTCACTGCAGTGAAATGAGTGACCCTCATGTTTTTCCTCCATGTGGCTCCTTCTACCTCATCCCCCACCCAGGGTGCTCTCCTCCACCCTAGCCTCTCTGAGTTGTTCAAGTGTGTACATCAGCTGTCAACCAGAATAAAAAATGCACCAGCCACCCTACAACAAGGTGGGGTGAATCAATGCAGACCAATCGAGAGCCAATAACCTCCACAGATATGCATGAAAATGATAAAACGGGATTTGAGCTGAAGATAGTGGACGACTACTTAGACAAGCAGCAGAGTCTCTTTGCTTTTGAAAGCTAGAAGGAAGGGGTGGTGATGGAGACCACATTTTACACTGTAAGCCATCTTGGCTGTGAGCTTGTGGTACCACTTATTAAAAAAAAAAAAAAACAGAAGAAGGTTTTTACAGTGATTGCTGGACACTTACAAAAGTACTCATTTTTACTACTAACTCTACACAGAATTAGATGCAAAACAGTAAATGAATTCCTACAGTACCTGCAGCATCCCATATCCATCCTCCTCAATTGTCCCCTTGGAAGTGATATGTAGGCGTGTCAGCTGAGTCTGGGAGCTTTGACAAAAAGACTTTCAGTCATACAACCAAAGTAGCATTCATCATGCGCATTGAATAACCAGCTATGTAACACTGCCAATGGCGAAAGTTTCTCCTTCCGCATACTGTAAAACAGAGGATGTGCTGTATGCAGTGAAAAAAATTCAAGAGGTTCATAATGCAGAAGAATATAGCATATTACCTTTCCCAGTTTGGAGGATTGTTCAGTACTTGTCTTTTGAATGTAACAAGACCCTTGGGCACTGGGTGGGTGGAAGAGGATCATCATTTAAAAATTATAATCAACTTAAAAAACACTGAGTGCTTTAAAGAGAAGCAATTGTTTCAACATGTTGTGGAAAAGCTTTAGTGCTTACTGTTTTGTGTAACTCTCCTGAAGTAACACAGCAGAGTTTTCAATTTCTCAATTTTTCTTGGTGAAGAACCTTCAAATAACCTGAAACAGAAAGCAAAAGGAATCGGAGTTTACAAAAGAGATTTGTGTAAAGTGCCAACTTTGTTAAATAACATGTGGTAGACTTTAGAAGTCTCTGACAAAATAAAATGCTAACATTTTACTGAAAATATAGTTTTTCCAGTGTTAAATTATGTTTTACAGTTTAGCATCTAAGAGGTGTGACTGTTTGATGCAGTCTTTTTCTATAGCTCACTGCACAACTATGCTACAGTATGTCATGAGTGGTAACTGGTGTGATGTCTCTCCCGTCTAACTCCATCATTCATACAGCAGTACCCCTTGAGGCCCTTAGGTTCTTCAGTTACCATAAAAACTTGGGTGGAAGGAGAGATGGGGGAGGGCCAATGGGTGTACAGCTGAACTCACCCTATACCAGCACTCTCCCAACATTAAAAACAACCTAAGATGATGACTAATCACAGTTCAGCATTCATCTTTCCCTCTCACCATAATTTTTGCCAAAACCAGTTAAGAAATAAAAAAAACAGAGGGTCAAATTCAATGAAAAAGGTAATACGCTAAAAG